GGTGCAAGCTCGTATAAAAAATTATTATAAATGGCATTTAGTGCTCTTTTAAATAAAAAAAAAGAATGTGATACCAAAGAATCATATCTCCAAACTGACAAATTTTCAAAATCTAATGCAAAGCTGATTCTTCTTAACTTTGATCACGATAATCCACCAATGGACTAAACTTTATGTTTAATCTCAGTGCATATCCCTGGGCACTTCTGGTGTAGATATTATTAAATTATATTTTTGTGGAACTGTATCCTATTTTTGTTGGCTACTTATATTTTGGAATACTTTTATAATAGAAAATTTAGATATAGATTGTCAAACAAGAAATTAGATGATGAGAGAAAAAAAGGTCTTATCCTTATGATTCTTCTGTTTTCCAATTAATGTAATATTTTTTCCCATTGTGAAGTGCAAAATTTTATCATTACTCCTCTCTCTTTCTCTCTCTCTTGGAGAAGTACTCTATTTTTCTCTCTTAATTAAAGCACAGAAATAACATTCTGTTTTTGTCCTCTTTTTCCCCTAATGGTTTGAAAAGGTAACCTGTGGATGTGCAGCTGGAGTTGCTGCTGCTTTTAGAGCTCCAGTTGGCGGGGTATTATTTGCACTGGAGGAGGTCACGTCTTGGTAAGGAAGTCTATACTTTTCTTCCTCATGTTAATTCTCTTGTGCATGCCTATGAAACCTTTTGTACATTTCTGCATTATAGTTATCCATTCAGTCCTATCAAATAGTGTACAAAAAAAATTTTGCTGCATAGATTGATTTCATTTGCGCATATTCTTGAAGGTGGAGAAGTCAGCTTATGTGGCGTGTCTTTTTCACTTCTGCAATTGTCGCTGTTGTGGTGCGTACTGCCATGGGATGGTGCAAGAGTGGGAACTGCGGACATTTTGGGGCAGGTGGCTTCATAATATGGGATGTATCAGAGTTAAGATCTAAACTTGCCAGATCTCCTATTTACTAATCCATGGTTTTATTTCTCTTCTGGTGTTTAACCGTTTCCTTCTCCCCTTCCATTTAGCGGTCAAGAGGACTACTCTTTTGGGGAATTACTGCCCATGGCAGTTATTGGAGTCATTGGAGGTCTCCTTGGTAGGTTACTGGTGCTTTTTTTTGTTCATTTTATTCATTTACTCGCTTATCAGTTTTCTTTGTTCGCTATTTTTTCTCATACTTTGTCTCCCTTTTTTCCCAGGAGCTTTGTTTAACCAGCTTACCCTCTATATTACTTATTGGCGTCAAAATTATTTACACAAGAAAGGGAATCGAGTTAAGGTATTGATCGTTCTTATCAAAATACATTCCTGATGCATGTTTATGTTTTCTTGTTACATATCTTTTGTTTGATCTGTTATGTCAGCATTCCTGTCTTAATCCTTTATAGATTATTGAAGCATGCCTCATCTCCATCATAACCTCGATTATTTCCTTTGGACTACCTCTCTAAGAAAATGCAGCCCATGCCGTGAATCAGATCCTGATTTTGAATGTCCACGGCATCCAGGAGTGGATGGAAATTATGTGAATGTAAGATATGGCTTTCAGAGTTGCTTTCCTTTTGGATTGTTTTATGTGGCAATTGTTTTCTTTTACATGCTTTCCCTGCAACATAGTTTTGATATTTTGAACTCTATTTGGTAACCTGAGCTGCAGCATGGCTTTGATATTTTAAACTCTATTTGATAGCCTTTTAGTTCCGTAGATAACTAGTTTGCTGGTATATACTATAACAAAATTGTTTGTGCTTTTGAGGGAAAAGAAATTGACTTTAACACTATCAAGGATTACTGGTTCCACTATTTTGACTCTACTGTTTTAGGGCACAATCTTGATTTTACTGATGATTTTGATCTCATTGTAGGTATGCTAACTGATTTGTAAATTTTGTACGTGGACGGTGCCCCCTTGGCACCTATATCAATATATCTCATACTTTTATTTCAAAAGAATAAAATAAAAAAATTCTATAACAAAATGATTATCCTATAATAGTTCAACTCGAGGTTGGACTTCCTCTGTCTCGTGGTTTTAAATAGAAGATTACAGGAGTTAAACTTGCTGGTGCATGAAGATTGTCCCAAAATCCTAAGAAATTATTCAATTATCTCTCAGTTAATGCGGTACTATGTTTTCATCCCTTTCCTATGTGATGTTCCCGACTCTTAACTGTATTTATCTTAATAATATATTATCCTTTGTTCCTCAAATTTGTAATAGCTGAAGTAATTGAAGATATATATGTGTATATATTTTTTGTCACTCATCTTTTCTTGAGTGGTCCTGTCTTTTCCTTTACTATGTGTTCTCTATACGCATACATGAATATTCTGTTTGATGCTTTGTGGCATACTTATTGCTTTCTATTGCCATAAATAGTTTTACTGCAGTAAGCAGAAGGAATACAATGATCTTGCTACTATCTTCTTCAATACTCAGGTGTGTTAGATTCAGGAGATAGTATTTGCTTTTCTTTTACTTGCTAGTTTTCAATGGTAATTTGAGTTTTTATTTACTTTAATTTGTTTCAGGATGATGCCATAAGAAATTTATTCAGTGCTAAAACAATTCACGAGTTCAGTGCCCAAAGTCTGTTGACCTTTTTGGTAATGCGTTCTTTTACTCAAGTTCCTATTTGCCAATTTTGTTGGATGTTCTGACTTGTTAATCTTTGTGATTTCTTGTAACAATACCAGCTCAGCATATTATGGACAAGAGAAGAGCTATTTCTGTTCATTGTCAAACTTTAGTTGACTCTTAAGTTTTGCTTCTAGGACCGAACTTTGTTATAATTTTGTTTAGCTATCGTTCGTGTCATATGCTTAAATAAAGTTGCTTTGAAGCCTTTTCTTTTCCATTTTTTTTCTTTTGGTTGTTTCAAAATCTCATAAAGGATTGTCACAAAAAAAAAAAATCTCATAAAGGGATGTGGCTGGCATTTGAAATAGCTAAATTACATGAGGAAAAAACTATTTCAAGTCCATGGTTGTCAGTTTTGCAGATATTTTTTGACTTCTTGCTTTATTTCAAAAAAAGAAATATTTTAACTTCTTGCTACGTGATATTGGGTTCTGATTATGCTGAGTAAAAGATTGGCTGAAGAACTAAGATGTGAATGAATTTTTTAAATGGTCCCAAATACCAATATTGTGCCCTCCAATTTCAGTAATAGATCAATATTTTCTGATTCTGGATTAAATTGTTTAAGGTGCACTTTTCATAATTTAACTTATATTGTTTCTTCTGTCCTTGGATTGATTTCCTTTATAAGTTAATTGCTCTAATACTAACCTCAATAGAAAGCGTTTATGACTTAGAATTGG